TAGGGAAAGGGAACAAATTTCCACCTCTGACTGGCAAACAGAATTAGATCAGTTTGTTAGTGAAGAAGGAAACTATATTTGCAGCCACCAGATAATTCAGAAGTTAAGACACTAAACTGGGCTGTTTCTTCTGTGTTGAGTGTAATAGTGTGCCTGAACAAAGTGGCAGACCTTCCTGCTCTCAAGTGACTGTACTGTGTACTTTCAGAGATGAAACAATGTGCTGAGCATACCATTATTCACTGATGGTAAGGCTGTCTGCCTAGTTAGCTCTTAAAAGGACCAGAGACACAAACTGAGGACCAAAGAAACAAGTTCTCTGAATAACTAAATGCAGCCTGTGCCTTTTGTCTCTCAAAAACTGTCTCCAAATAATTAAGTTAGAGAACAACAATAGTAACTGTTACAATTGTGTGTAGCTCATGAAATGGCTGCTTCCTTCTAGCAGCTGCCTGAACAGCATCATGGGAATTGTTTGGAAGAAACATCCCTTGGCTTATGTCCCTGGCAGAATTTGCAGTATCCTCACGCTCAAGAGGTTGTCTCTTAAGATGCTGGTCCAAGCTTTAGTGCATCCATAAAGAAGAAAGAGCACCGAATAAGCCCATTACGTTGAAGAAATGGTTCTGCTGGTGTCAGTAGCAGCAGTGCTGTTGGTTCTGGGTTTGGCTGTGGAATCAGACTCTCTCTGCTCACCCACTACCTTTTACAAGAACTGCTGGATCCGACGCTTCCCAGGTCTTCTGATCGACCTGCAGGAGTCGCAGAAGAGGGGAGCCCAGGTGCTGAAGATTTATGAAGAAGTCTCACCCCTGCAGTGCAGCAGAACCTGCTGCCTTCTGAGGAATGGTGAGTATTTATGACCAAGGTCATGGCATACATTGATATACATCACAGCATATGAGGAAAAACATTTTGGGTAATTTTTATATAAACATTTCTTTATTTGAAGATGAAATAATGAAAAAAAAAGTATTTTTTTGAGGCAGAAAAGCAGGGGCACATTATAACTGTTGCCCCATCTTCAATCCCTTAGAAAGAAATGTGATAATCTGATTTTTTTAGAAGACTACACTAGAAACACATGACAATCTCAGGATCTGCTTCAAAATTTTATATCTCTGTTACAAAGCTTATGTTTTAATGCCAACATAAAAATAATAACTCTCCAGTATCCAACACCACCTACTCCTGTATAGAAAAATCAATGACAGTGATTCCAACAGGACTCTTCTCCATAGAGAATGGTTCTAGACTAGGACATAGTCAGGGGGAAGAAAGAAACACACAATTTGTCCTTCTTTGAATTACAAGAATATTTATTTTCTTGGAGTGGGAACTTCTTTGTTCTGAGTTTACACCATGTTTCTGGTGCAACCCAGGTATAACGTTAATATGAACGATAAAGTTACAGCAATAAATAATAGTAGTTATTCAGCTGGCAACCCCTTTACCCTAGCCTTGTAAACTCAAGACTCAGAATAAAAATAAGAAAAATCATTACATGTCTTAAGCCCAAGACTTTACTTTCTCTGTATCACACTGCATTCATACACTATAGGAGTATGTTTTAGTACTGTCTTCCTTGATAACTTTACTTTTGGCAATGCTCCACTCACTGCATCTGAGATGTGAAGGAAAGCAACTGGTAGGAAGAATACAAACTAAAGCTTATTTAATCAGAGACACATTTAGAATTCAGATGGCTATTCTATTCCTTTTCTTCAGATGTAAAATAACCGTATAATTATAAATAGTTTTACATTTCTGACTGGATGCTTAATTACTTTGCGCGATAATGAGAGAACCACAGATTTAAAGTACTATGGAGCTGCCCAGTATTAATGATCCTGTGATGCTAAACAAAGTAATAACATGCAATGGTAATATGTTGATAAGTTTATTTTTTTGTATTCCAGTTTCCTGCAATCTAGCAATTTTCTACCATGGAACTATTCATGAGAATATGAATTGCCTGCACATATCTTGCCCAGCTTTGGAAAGCTGCATACTAAAGGCTAAAATCAATGTCATTTTGTACAACATCACAACAGGTAATTAGGCATTTCATTTAAAAAGGCTGAAAAAATAGCAACTATAGGAAATCTTAAAATTACACTAGGTCACTTGCTGTGCTAGAAGATCTTCTGAAGTAACATCCATTGCTAAAAAAGCATAAGACTTTTTTTCCTTTTTCATTAATATACCTACTTCTGAAATACTTCCTCCCTTTCTTCCATTCCATATATGAGAAAGGACCTTGAAGATACACCCTGCTCTCAAGATTCATGCTCTGAGTACCTTATCAGTATATTTGGGCAAAATGCTATACTAGATCTGAGAGACTGAGAAGTGAGGCTGCCACTGTTCTGTGTCCCCACATCCAACCAGTAGCAAGGCTGAAAATTTATTCCTATTAGGCACATACCAAAGGGCTCACATACCAAAGTAACACAGACAAGCACATAAAGCAAACATACGAACACAGGGAGCACCGAGAGCCTCGTCCTGCTCTTTCTGGCTGCGCAGGATGGAGATCTGCTAGTGAAAAAATACATACACACACAATGCGATTTCCCCCAGCAGCCTGGCTCAGCTGCTCAGTCTGGACCCCAGCCTCCCAGGGATGAGCCCCCAAGGGTGCAGCCACCCTCCAGCTGCTGGGGCAGACTGTCACACACACATGCACACACATACACAGCTTGCTGAGACTCCCCTACTCCCTGTTAGCTCCCTTTCCTCACTTTTGGTTCATTTGCTAAGCATCCCATAGTAAGTCCTGTGCAATTCCAAAATGCATTTCCCTTGCATCCCATAAGATGTCCCACAGCCCTAGGCAGTGACACCCTCAATCCAAAAGATGTTGATGGGTATTATGTGCTCCTTTTGTGGGTGTGTAGATGAGCTTTTATCACATAAACTAATAATGTTTATGATTTAATAGGGATTGATCCAGATCTTCTTATTTTTGAAAAACTGACATCCAAAGAGCCAAATATTCACTCCTCACCAAGTAAATATGAAAGGCAAAACAGCACAAAGACCACCGAGTGGGAAAGATGCCAGCATCATAATGCCACATTGAGTTCTCTTCTGCTCCAAGCTCCGTCTTCTACCGCTAGCCATGGATTAACAGCAAACACTTACACCTCCAGCACAAGACTGACAGTCCAAAACACTGAAGTTACTACTTATTCCAAGGCAGAAACTTTTCTACCAGATGATAATTTTACTAAGAGGACAAGCACTTCAGTAAGCACTAAGTCAATCACCAGCTCAGACAAGAAGCCTGTACATTCAACTTTGATATCCAAGTCTGCTGAGGTACTATCGCACATGCCCACTCCTCCTCGCCTGAACAGCAGTAAACAACACTTAAATGAAACCAAAGGCTACAGTGGTAGGAATTACACTTTGGATGAGGCACCTGCATGGGAAGCTGCAGCTTTGGGTTTCTGGTTGATTCCTGTTATTCTTTGCTCTTCTCTCATATTCCTTTGTTGTTGTACTGTTGCTTTCACAGCAGGGCGTTGCAGCAACAGGAGGGGTCAGTATAAGCCCATAAGGAGAAGAAGAACAATGTCGACACAATTTATAAAAAATGCTACTGGTAATTTGTAAAATACTGTCACTATCCTAGTTTTGGAACAAATATCTTTTTAGAAGTGAATTGTATTTACCAACTTCTCTCTTTTACAGAACCAAAGATAATGTTCACTGATGGTTTCCCAATCTTTCAGTTGTAATTTATTTCTCAACAGATGAAACACAATTTCCCTGTCTCCTTAAGTTAGTACACATTCATAGTGCCACTGCATGCTCAGAGGTGTTTGAGCACATTTTGGTTCATAATCTGTCCCAGACTAATGCCTAACAAACAATGTACACTTTCCCTGACTTAAAAGGGCAGATTCACTGTAGCTGTACGTATTCTTTCCCCTGACTTTGAACTAACCTGAGAAAACTAAATACGAGTGTAATCAGCAAAACATATCTCATTGTTTCTGTAAAAACTAACAATTTTTCTCCAAGCTCTAGATTTACCTTTTTCCCCATTATCCCTAGTATTGAGATAAAACAATTTAGCCGTCACTCTTTACTTCTTCAAAGATAAGCACCAGAAAGAACCCCAGTCCCCAAAACTACTGAATTCCATTCACTCATACTGAAACATCTGATCATTCAATCTTTACGCTTGACATTTACCCTACTTCTCACTTTACTCTTCTGATAACAGTAATTTTAAATGTTTTTCAAGCCCTGCCCCCCCAACGCCCTTTCAGACTTCAGCTGCTTTTTTGAAGTTACTTACTCTGCAGTGGATTGACAAACCCATTCTAAAGTTAAGGAAAACACAAATGCAGCCGACATTTCTTCATGCCTTGCAATTGGCATCAATCTGTCTTGTTCACCTTGACTTGCCTTTTCTTGCCTACATTTATATCATTAGCTTTTTAAAGTAGGGATAGTCATTTAATGTATGTTGCACATGAATACAGAGTGTTTTGGAGCTCTCTAAGTTAGCTTTATAATACCCGAACCCCCCCTTTTTTTTGTTTCCTCATCCTGTATCCTCTATTCATAAAACTGCTCCTCCTGAATATAAATCAAGCAACTAGATCAACAAGTAGCAAGGTATTTCTTTGCCTTACCTTACTCAGGAAGTTTGCTTAGGAAAGCAAACATTCAGTAACCAGGATTATTCTTCCTCTTTTAAACTTGTTGATGTTTCAGAGTTTCCCGCTTTCTTCACTTGCTTTTAGAAGTTTCTGAGACAAGTGTAAATGGTATTAAAGGGAAACAATAAAAAATAAAACTGATTGTCACATCTATTTGGCAGAAAATTATTTTAAAACTAGTAAGGTTCATGCAGTGTTTAAAGACTACACTGTTGAGGTTGTAAGGCCACATGAATACTTAATTACAGTTGAGCAGGTTGGTTTCAGAGGTAAAGAACTCTCTAAAATTACATATTACCCCACATTGATAAGCAGTGTAGCATAGAAAACTGAAGTTTAAAAAACCCCTTGTTCACAGTTTTTGATTGACCATGTATGCTAATTTACATGTAAGAGAAGAGAGAGCGATATAGGATAAGAACGTTTGAAGAGAGTGGGATTATCTAATCAGTTGAAATAACAGAAAAGAAATACCTTCTATTTTAGCTAGAAAAATTAGAATTAGGTATGATTTGTTTTTAAGGGCAGTTCTATGCTTTTATGTAAAGTGATGCAAACTCTGCATGTACCCACTGCATGAAGTACTTGAAATTTGAACAAGCTGACTTTTATCATCAAGTTGTACTTTCCTAATCATGTGCTTTCGTCATGTGGCTGAATCTAGCACATAGTTTAACTATGACTTAAAATGTCAACTAAGAATGATAAGACCCCAAGGGCTCTTCTGAGTGAGTTAGTTGACAGGTATTCTTTTCCAGGTTTTTGACACCAAAAGGAAAGGAACTGGGAGAAGGGAACCAAGATACTCTATATTGTATCAAAGGATTAATATGGTGATATGTTAATAAAGAATGTTTGTCTCGTGATGTGTTCATCATCTTAGAGTAACCTTTACGGATCTGACCCTGAAATGGCTAGCAAAGAAATCCTTTCACTAGATGAAACATGCTCCAACATGCCAAAACCAAATCTCTACAGGAAGGCATTAGTTTTAATGGGACGAAGTCATAGGTAATATACTATTTGCTTTCAAACAGGGTTTTTTTTTAAAAGGGACCTGCTTTTACTCTCAAAAGTAACTTGTATCTGATCATTCATCAGTTGTGTGATCTACAGCAACTCAAGAGACATCCCTGGCGTCCATGGTTTCTTCTTCTCAGTTAGTGACTGTATAGTGTATTTAATAGCACCTTGTTGCTGTTTGATACTTGCCCTCAGTATTATGTTCTGAATCATATAATGGAACTAGAGCCTCAGTACTCATCAGAAAAAGGAAATGAGACAGAAGTGAAAATTTGTGTGTGTCCTATGCACAAATGATTTTGGAGTGGGATGAAATTACTAAATCTAAGATCATGTTCTGGAAAGTCTTCTTGGTTTGTTGATTTATAGAGAAAAAAATAGGCAGGAGAAGGTTATGTAAAGCAGAGTAGCAGGACTATTTTATTACAGACCAAGAGAGTCACACGAAAATAAATATATACATTTTAAATATGAGGGAAAGGAAGAAATGGGTTTGTCCAGACAGCACATCCCTTTTTAAACAACTATCTTTTATCCCTTGTGCTTGTAGCAATGCTACAATGCCCTGAAAACAGGGCAAAAAGTGTCAACTCAAGTTAGGACGATCATAAGATTATCTGTAGGGGTTTACCAACTCTTCACATGCAGCCTGTCACGTTCAGATCCTAGGGCTTGGTGAAGTACAAGTAGTTGTAACACATACTCTCCTTGCCAAAGATTGAGTTAATGTCCCTGTATAGGCCTTCTTATCTAATCTGGCACTATGCTTAGTGTCCAAAAGCCCATCTGTCGTGGTTTAAGCCCAGCTGGCAACTCGGAACCACGCAGCCACTCGCTCACTCCCCTCCCTGTTCCTTCCTCCCCCCGCTCCCGGAGGGATGGGGAGGAGAATCGGAGGAATGTAACTCCCACGGGTTGAGATAACAGCACTCCAGTAACTAAGGTATAATACAAACCACTACTGCTACCAATAATAATGATAAGAGGAATAACAAGGGCAAAGGACACAACCGCTCACCCCCCGCCGACCGATCCCCAGCCCGACCCGAGCAGCGATCTGGGCCTTCTGGGTAACTCCCCCCAGTTTCTATACTGGGCATGACGTGCTGTGGTATGGAATACCCCTTTGGCCAGTTTGGGTAACGTGTCCTGCCTCTGCTTCCTCCTGGCTTCCCCTCCTCTCTGGCAGAGCATGAGACTGAGAAAGTCCTTGGTCAGAGTAAACCTTACTGAGCAACAACTAAAAACATCGGTGTTATCAGCGTTGTTCCCAGACTGAAAGTCAAAAACACAGCACTGCACCAGCTTCTAAGAAGGAGAAAAAATGACTGCTGTAGCTGAACCCAGGACACCATCTTTAAAGGGCAAAAGTGTGACAGAACATGGAAAAACCTCAAGAAACTATTTCGAAACGCTTAGAATCAGAATTTTGAACATTCTACTTCACAACTCCTAGCACAGTTTACTAAAGACATCTTATGCCAGTGATTACAATAGCTTCTAGATACAAAAAATTAGCCAGAATGCTGACAAAGCAAGTTCTTTTCCAGTTTGACTAAGCACAAGATCTCTAGCTTTCTTTGGAATGTTTGTAAGGGAAGCTAGCCTGCTTCTTGATTTGTCATCTATCTACAATTCTATTTAATAGTAATGTGAGCACTTTCACATGCCAAGAATGTACATACATGCAGGAATGTACAGGAATACACACCCTAGAGTCATGCATTTACATTATAATATACATGAAGTAAATCCTTAGTGAGCATTACTAAGGATGTACTTTTTACTGTGCTGTACATCTGCTTAACCTGAAAGTATTACTCTTTAACTCTTAACTGTTTTTAAACTTCAGTGCATGTTTCAAGTAAGATGGTCTGCACGAGTACATAGAAAAATAAAGATGTGTATAGTTCATAAAAACACATGCTATATTATGCATCATTAAGGTTGGGAAGACCCCAACAGGAGTTAAGATCCCAGTGTTCTAGGTATTCTACATAATTACAAAGAAATACTGTCACCCTCAAACACGGTTTAAAGGCAGAAGCAGAAAAACAGAAAAAGAAACATCCAACGAAAGAGCTCAAAATACAAAATACCTTTGATCCAGTCCAGTGCATTACACAAGTTCTGTACTGTAACACATGAACCATTAGTAAAAATCACAAGTGTAACTCTGAATTTTATACTGTTTTTCATTCTAGCACCTTAATTGGGCACTTGTAGAATTATAAAGGTTTATAATTTTGCTTGCACGTTTCTTAGTAAGGAGAGGAAGTGAAGACAGCATTGAAAACCAAGGTTGGAGGTCACTCTAGCATATTTCTAAGGCCAACTGAATAAGTGTTCTACAGCCACAGGGTCATAAAGCCAGATACTATGGGAAAACTGGTATCTTTGACAATTAATTTCTGAATGGTAACTGCTGGATATGGGTAGGGAACACAGTGAATTAATCCCAACATTGTTCTTAGCCAGTAGGTGACATCTGTTGTTGGTAGAGATATTAAGGGCATCAGACACTCAGGAGACAGTCACCTTTTATCCTGTCTGTATTTCCTGAAACATTTATAGAACATACACAAGCTAGACTTGAACGCTTCAGAGGGAACTATTGCTTGTGTATTTTAGGTTTTCCATGAATTAGCTGTGAAGCTAATGAAATGATAATACAAGAAAATGAAAAATTATTTTCCCTTGCTGTGCTGTTTTTTCTACCAGGGACTATTATTAGTAAAGTCAAATTGTTACTTTAACTACAACTTTTATACAGCATTCTCCTTAGGTCCACATAAAGTATATGAAAAGCAAAGGAAAACTGAATTGTGCTCCATTGCAGAGAGGACTTTATCAGGTGCTTGTATGTGCCAAGTACTTTAAGGACAACTCTACAGAGAGAAGCAAGCTTATGGGGTTTTG